CCATCCTGTTAGTGCCTGCTAGAGCTCTCCCTCTCTCTCACATCTCAGAGTAGAGTTTCTCTGCGGTTGGTCTGACTCTTCTGTCTTGTAATGTGAAGGGGTCTCTATAGCAAATACTAATTTCTTAGTCACTGTTGTCACTGGGACAAAATGTCCAGCACGCATGACTTAAAGGAAGAGAGGTTTATTTTGGTTCATGGTGACAGGCTATGGTCAGGCAGCTTCAGGGCTGAACGGCACGGCAGAGGGGCACAGTGGGGAAGTTGTTCCCTTCATGGTGTCCAGGAAGCAGAGCGAGCAAAGGGAGGAGCCAGGAGCGGAGAAGCACCCTCCCAGGTCACACCTAGAGTGACCCGCCTCTTCTGACAGAGCCTGCCTCCTAACAGCAAATCAGCTGCAATAGCCCCATAATCGAGTCACCTTCCCAAAGCCCTCAGTATGAGTGCACGAGGCTTTGGGAAGGGGGGGGCCTGTACTTATAAATCATAACAGCAAAAGAGCTTCATTTTGCCTTTTAGTTTAAAACATACATGTCACATTTTTAGTACTTTTTCTCTGGTAAATCATTTGGAATATACTATTTTTATGATAATCACTCTGGTTCTTTTCATACTATTTTTCCTGGAAGGATATTATTAACCCTTTTTATAGTAGGTGAAACTGAGGCAGGAAAACAGTCTATCATTTGCTGTTGCTCACCTGACCATTTAGTGGGAGGGCCAGAATTAACCCAAAACCCCTGTGACCTAGAAACCCATTTTCTTGCTCTTTTAACACACACACTATCTCTAGTTGCATACATCAGTAGATTCTTCAGTATAACACTCATTTTCAAATGTAATCAAGGAAATTTAGGTCCAGGGCAAGATCTCAGATTTTCTAGAATTGAAAAATCATGAAGAAGCAGAGTGGTGCAGGGATCCAACCCAGATCCAGAGTTAGCGATGTGAACCTGGTCCTCTAGACAGTTACTTTTGTGCCTCTTCTTTTGGAAATTTGTTTAGGGAGCTTACCACTGTCTTCACACATACATCTATATATTTCTGGATAATGCCATATATAGGAAAAGCAAAGTGTTAAGGTTTTGTATCTGTTTTATTCTGAAGTATGTGTAGATGAAATTACATGATCCACGGGATTTTCTTCATAACAGTGTAGGAGTCCTGAGGAAGTGAGAAACCTAGACAAGGGAAATTGGCCATGAGTTGATAATTGTTGGAGGTGAGAGAGAAGGAAGGAGATTCTCTCCATCTTGGTATACACTTGAGAATTTTTGTAATAAAAATACTTTAAAATTGATGTGCAGAAAATTAGCTGATCAATAAAGTCTCTTTTTAGTTTAAAATAATGTGCCATACAAATAAATATTATATTACATGTCAATATGATAACCAGGTGCAAAACATAAAGTGTCATGATATTGTTGACAGGTCTTAAAATAGCTCATTTCTACAAGTACTTGCTGAATTGTATCATAACTTCTATAGATTTTAATCTTTTGTTTAATGCTGTCTTATAATGATATTTGGTTTTATTGAACCACTAGAATTTCAAAGCAAATTAAAAATTGAGCTAGTGGGCTTCAGAGAGAAGCAGGATTCCGCTAGGGAGAAATTTGTTCTCCCTTGAGGAAAGTTCTGCCGGATGCAGCATTGAGCTCACTGATGAAATGGTCAGTCAGATGCAGCAGCAATGGAGACACAGCAGGGGCTCAAGAAACAGTTTATTACACACGGGGCTTGGAGGGGTCTTGGAATAGCCCCGGGTTTGTGTCGGGAGCAGAAGACAAGCCACTACTTTTCTTTCCTGGAATACTCCTCCCCCACCTCACCACCCCTAGACAGTCCTTTTGTTTTAGTCCTTTGTTTCATCCAGGTGGAATTTATTTTGATGTAAGGAATGTGGTAGAGACCTTGCCTAATGTATTTTCCAGTTAGTCGTCAGTCATTTCATTTCATCTCAACTGATTTGTGATGCTATTCTTTGTTACATAATTCTGCACTGTTAGTGGCAGATTGGAAGCTTTTTTTCTGAGATAAGAGTCTTGCTAAGTTGCTCAGGCAGCCCTCAAACTTCTGAGCTCAAGTGTTCTTCCTGCCTCTGCCTCCTGAGTAGCTGTGACTACAGAAGTGTGACATTGCACACCTTAATATGGGTGTATAGATTTTTTTCCCCTTATACTAGAATAGCAGCTTTGACTTGTTATTTTATGTAAGTTCCTAAAAAATTATGGACTGTGATCCTGTCTATGTAGCTTCTATTTTCTTTTGGTTCCTATTTCAGTTGCTTAGCTCTAGTTTTATTGCATTGTGGTCAGAAATATGAAATACTTCTGTTATTTGGTTTTTAAAATGTGGCTAATTATTGAAACTGTCCAGGACTGCAAAAATACATATTTTCTATTAAGAGTTCAGTTCTTGATAATACACACTAATATGCACATATCTCTCTCAGTTTATTTATTAACAAATATATATGTAGTAGACTAGCTATATTACCCAAATCTTCAACATCTTTTTATTTGGGCAGAGACTGAGAGAATTATGTTGCTACACTTCATTATTATGTGTCTGTTGCTCCCTTACTAAGTATTCAGTTTTTAATCTCATGAAATTCAATATTAAGTAATGCGGAATGGTTTGTGGCACCTTATTGTAGATCATCTTCTTAATTTTCACAAAGCGATGCTCTTTTTCTACTTATTCTTCATTTTAAATCCAGCTTTGTCCTGTATCAATATTGCAAACTCTTCTCTCCTCTTCTAAGTTGCCTTCTCTATATTCCAGTAGACTTTTATTTGGAAATATTCTCAGACATTTTGTAGGAATATTTCTTTTAAATTGAGTTTAGTATTTTGATTCCTTATAATAAGAGGGTTTGCTACTTGTATTTCTTATATATGAACTAATTCATTAAATAATAAAATTTCTTAAGGTGTATGTATTAAATACACAATTTAATCTTTATGTGTATGTGTGGCCTTGGCTTTGGTCAGTTTGTGTTTGCTCCCTCTCTCAACAGCTTTCATGCTATTCTTTGTTTTCTATGATACAAGGACCAGAATTATTTCAGAATGACCTAGGACTTATTCTTCACTGCCTAACCTCTGCCCGGTTTGTTCAAAACTCCCTCTGCCCTCCCAACCCCTCAAGCTGGAGAGGGTGTATCCAATCACAGGGCCCAAGATGTTGGGTGCACGATTCCTGGAAACAGATGCCACCTGGGCCCTAATTTCGGGGGCTTGGCGTTTTGCTTACTCCCTGTTCAAAAGGACGCTGCCGCTCTTTCTCTCTGCAGTGAAGTGCAGCAGTGTTGCAGGGTCTGCAGAGTCACCACCTGCCCCTCCCAGGCTCAGGCTCTGGCTTCCCTTTCAGAGGCAAGATCAGCGAACCAGGATTGCACTACTCAGTTTTTTGTCTTACTGTAGCAAATACCTGAGATAAGGAAACTTATAAAGAGCCGAGGCTCATTTCAGCTCCTAGTTTCGGAGGTTTCAGTCCGTGGTTGGTTGGCTCTGTTGCTTTTGGACCTGTGGCAGGGCAGCACATCATGGTGGGAGTGCATGGTGATTCTGCTCACACCATGGTCAGGATGAGAGAGACAGAGGAGGAAGAAGAAAGGACTGGGTTTCTACTGTCCCATTCAAGGGCATATCCCCACCCACCAGGAGATTTCTCAGTAGGCCTTGTCTCTTCCATCCCCTTCCAACAGCAGTGCATTACTGACTCATTGGCCTTTGGGAGATACTTCTCTAAATCATAGCAGCACCTATTGTCCATGACCCTCACAATTTTCCAATTATGCTTGTACTCATACCTAACCCATATGATGTTGAATTTATCCTAAACCCTGTATATATTATGGCCCTATTTTCTGCTCCACTCTTTTGGGATAATTTGAAATACTATACAGTTTTTGGTTACAGTTTCTGGTTACAGTTTCTCTCATTTTTAATCCTGAAATTTGCTAAACAGAGCATACTAATTAGAAGACAAGAAATACACTGTTGGGGATTTTCTTTGTCCTAGACATTTGGGGGCGGATGGATTTAAGAGAACTTTTAATGCTAAAAGTTTGCCATTTGATAAAGATAAGAATTGGTGGCTCTTGGGGCTGGGGATTTAGCTCAGCGGCAAAAGCGCCTACCTGGCAAGTGCAAGGTCGTGAGTTCGGTTCCCGGTACTGGAGAAAAACCAAAAAAAAGAATTGGTGGCTCTTGTCACTCCTTTGAACTACAGTACAAGATTGACTGGAAATTTTGTTGTAAGTATTAAAAGCCATATGGAGTAAAGGATTGCTTATCATCCTAACATATATCTATGTTTAACTTATTTATTATGTTTCTTGATTGTTGTTTATCTTCCTCCACCAGAATGTAAACACCAGAGAGACACCTTTGTACTTTCTCTGATGTATCTCAAGGATCTGGAATCATGCGTGGCACATAGTAGATGCTCAATAAATATATGCTGAGTGAATAAATAAACAAATGGTATCAGTCAGAGGGAAAATCAAAGGTAGCACTCTTCTTTGTCTTTCCCTCTTTTTTTTTTGTCATCTTTTTGAAGCAGGGTCTCACTGTGGAGTTCAAGCTGGCCTTGAGCTCACTTTGTAGCTCAGGCTGGTCTCAAACTTGAGACGATCCTCCTGCCTCAGCCTCCCAAGTGCTGGGGTTACAAGCATGTGCCACCACACCTGGCTGTCTTTCCCTCTTGAAATGTTTAGGCAACATCGACTCTGGTGTTTGATCCTTGAGTCTTTGTGTCCACCACAGTCATTACCCTGAGTTCCTGAGATAAGGAAAGTTCTTCTTCTTTTATTCTGAGATCATTTTGGGGCACAGTGATTACTGTCAAAAAGCAAACTATCTTTGGGAAAAGGTGACTATTTTATACATATTTTATTTTTAACACGCTTTCGATGTATAGCCAAGTTTTCGTGTTACTGCTTTTATGGTTCTGAATATTAGCTGACTATTGTATTTTTCTTCTTTCCTACAGCACAGCCAAGTATAGCAAGTGGTCGTTTCTTCCTCGATATTTGTACCTACAGTTTAGCAAGGCTGCCAATGCTTTCTTTCTGTTTATTAGCATATTGCAGGTAATATGTTTGAACATATTATTAGACTAAGGTTCTCAAGCACTCTAAGAAAGCACTTATAAAAACTCACTTAGTGAAGTAAGAGTTCGATGGTGACATCAAACTGAAGTACTGTTTGAAGAACAATTCTCTTGTTACAATATTTAAGTTGTTCAGCAAGACACTGAAACTCAGTATTTGGCCTGAGAAAACATGTGGTTGCAGAACAAGTGCCTTGGCCCACATTCCACCCTGGTTAGATCTTTAATGAAATTTCCTTGCAGGAGTGATCATGGTTATTTACACCACCTGTAAAACAGGACAATTTTATAACATTTTGAAAGGAACAATTTAAAAGAAACCCAAATACTAGTTTAAAATGGCAACTTTTTCAAACAGTTAAATTTAAGGCTTTCCATAATCTTGATTACTACCATTTATTCAATCTATTTTTAGTATGCATCTCATGATCTAATCTGCCACGTCTCCCCACAATATCCCAATTTTCTTCCTGTTTCCAGACTGTGGGCTCTACTATTATGTAAACTTAGAAGGCACTAATCTGGGCATTTCCTTTCCATTCTCTTCAAAGCAAAAACTCAAAACCATCCTCTTCCAAACTTCCCCAAATGCATGTCCTCTCAGATTTCTCCCTTCTCTAAATGCCTACAACAATGACTTGTGTTATATAACTGATTTTTTTTTCTCCCAGAAAACTGTACATTGCTTAAAAATGGGAACAGAGACCTAGTAATTGCTAAAATTTGGGACAAAGATTTAATAAATTTGTCAACTTTACCTCAGACAGAATTGGATTCAGTAAACATTTTAAAGGCCACTAGTATATGTTAGAAACCTGTGCATGGAATTAAAGATTCAAGAATGAATTATTAGATGTGATCCTTCCCTTGGAGAGTTCAAAGTCTAATAATATACAAGTATTTTAAGACATGTTTGTAATTTACTGCAGGAATATTGGATATGTCTGGCTTGGGGTTAAAGAGAAAAACTACTTTTACAAGGTGACATTTAAACCAAATATTAGAAAATTAGGATCTTGCCTTATATGCAGGGGCCAAGGAAGGCCTCTGGGCATAGGGGCCAGCAGAATACATGGGACCTGAGAATACTGGTTGCCTTTCTGGAGGAGAATTAGCGTATCAGTCAGTTTTGCTTTATCACAACAAAGTGCTGGTTGCAACTACATTTATAAAGACTAAAGGTTGATTTAAATCACAGCTTGGAGCTCTAAAGTTCAAGATTGGCTTTTGGTGAGGGCAACAGATAGGAATGGTGGGAACATGTGTCAGAGCAAGTTGCCCTGTTGGGAGCTGAAGCAGGGAGAGAGCGGATGGGAGAGGCCCATAATCCCCTTCAAGGACACATCCCCAGTGACCTAAGGACCTTCCCCTGAATTCCATCTTTCAAGGTCCATGGTACCTCCCAGTACTGACAGTCTGAGAATCAAGCCTTTTACCCCTGGACCTCTGGGAACACTCATGTTAGCAATCAGGAGTCAGGGAGACGGGGAGAAAGAGTCTCACTGCGAAGCTTCCTATATATTTTAAATTGTGAAACATATAAATGTGTTACTTATTCAGAAACAAGTAAAATACAAATTGAATGTATTAACATTTTCCCTGAGTATGCGGACTATTGTGGAGACAGTAAAGATTTTGGCTTTCAGAGCATAAGTTAGACTAGCTAATGGTGTTAGCCAAGGCCAAATTATCATAAGGTGAGTGTGTTACAGTCGGAAGCTTGCCCTCTGGTCTAGAGATAGAAGGCAGTAGCAGCAGTGAGTTGCAGGGTTAAGTGGATGGCTCTGGTTAGCCTTATATTCAGAAAAGAGAAGAGGGTCTTAGCCAAATGACCAGCTTGCAGCTGAACTTCAGCAATGTGAAAACGAATGAGAGATTCGAAAGGAATAGCAAAGGCAGAGCTTACGGACACCTGCAGTGATCCCGAAATTTGAAAATTCTTTTTGCCTCTATTGCTCAGAGTCCCTTTGAAGTTGCTACAAGAACTTTTAGAAGCTTTAAAATAGACACCATGTTGATGAATTGTGAAAGGAAATGATAAGCAAGTGAGAAATGACAAGGTAGTAGGAGAGTGCTCAGGTCCCCATCTGGAAATACAGGCCTAAGACTTTGTCTAAATCTAGAGAGTTAATGGGTCGGACCCAGCACCTCACCTGCACCCATCAGAAAACACCACAGCCTCAGCTTTGCCTCAGTCTATTTCTCATAAACCTGAGGGGCAGCCCTAGAACATGATCCATAATTTGCACCTAGGAGATATTCTCTCGGGGCTCCACAATTTTTTCTCCTACGCCTGAAAAAGAAATAGAGTTCAGTTAAGATAGCTGCCCATCTGGCTGGATGTAATTGCTTTGAAAAATGGTTTTTAAACTAATATTTAGATTTTGGCCTCTATTTCTTGAAACATAATGAAAGTATCTGATGAGAAAGCTGACATAATGACTGAGGTCTTCAGCAACTGTGAGGGCAACTCTTGCATCCTGTGATATTTAGTGTCACACTCAAGGGCTGGTGTTGGTGTGCCAAGAGTGTTTTCCTTGACCTTTTACTAAATGTGTCTTCATGTTCTGGGCCTGGCCGCTAGTAGTGTGATTTTGAGGATAAGCAAAATATAACAAGGATTTATCAGAAAGTTAATACTGTAACTCTCACTGTTTTGCAGCAAGTTCCAGATATGTCTCCAACAGGAAAATATACAACTCTCTTGCCTTTGATGGTCATTCTTATAATTTCAGGCATCAAAGAGATTCTAGAAGATTATGTAAGTGTACTGCTAGGTAGTGAAATGTTCTCAAAGCCACTGCCTTGACAGTGAGGTATTTTGTCTTGCTCTTTTTTTTTTTTTCTTAATTGGTTGAAACTGGTACAATTCAAGTTGACTGTTGGTGTGAAGAGTGAACTGATGTTTTGAGGTTTAAAATGTAAAATCATATACTCTTAGAGAGGCTAATGAGACTTTACAGCTAGCATAAGAACAAGGATGGTGTCTCTGGAGATATACTCCACCCACAGGTAAAACTCTTACATGATGAAAGGGTTGTGTGCTGAATGGTGTGATGACTTCACTTCATCTTTAGCTTTGCCATGGGTCCCAGGAAATATTTAACCTTATTTTCTGTTCACTCTGACTCTAATTGCTATGGCTGGGGTCACTCTAGCAGAGTCATGGTCTTAATGTTTGTTTTCTGAAATTGCTAGCTATTGCTATTCACAGGCTTCTGCTGACTCCTACTAGCCTATAAACCTATGACACAAGTAAAATCCACTCAGTCGTGGTTGTTCTTCTGGTTACTTTATCAAATGAAAGAATCACTCAGAGTTATTGAGAATCTTTAGTTTAAATTGGGGTAAAAAGGGTCCAGAACTTCTAATTATGTGTTTAAGCCAATATGGTCATTTATAAGTAATAAACATAATGTGCTAAAATTTCAAGTAATATTTACTATTTCCCAGGCACACTGTAGTGTATCTGTGTGTGTATGTGTTTCTGAGTGTGTGCTTTATTTGAGCAAGAGGCAGAGCAGGGATGACAGAGTCCACACACTGCACTGCTTTGCTTGCTCCCTCCTGGGGTCACATCTCCAGAGAGAGCCCCATAAGGGCCAAAAGGAACTAAAGTCAGTACAGCCAAAGAGAATTTTACAACTAGGCTGGCTCTCCATACTTTCTTAAACCCACTCTGCCTTCTGTGAGGAACTGAATTATGCATTTTGAATGTTTGATGTAATAAATTTTTCTCTATCACAGAAACGACACATGGCAGACAGATTAGTGAATACAAAGACTACACTAGGTAAGTGTGATGGTTAATTTTGTGTGTCAGCTTGACTGCACTACAGTGTGGTCAGATATTTGGTCAAACATAATTCTGGGTGTTTCTTTGAGGGGTCTTTGGATGAGATTAATCTTCAAATTGATAGAGTGAATAAAGAATATCACCTTCTATAACGTGGGTTGGTTTCATTCAATCAACTGAAGACCTGAGTAAAACAAAAAGGCTTACCATCCCTTGGTATGAGAGAATTCTTCTTTCTTGATGACCTTTCAACCAGGACATCAGGTATTTTCCTACTTTCAGGCTGACTGAAACACTGGCTCTTTCTGGTCTCAAGCCTGCTGGTATATAGGTTACAATAATACCATGGGCTCTCCTGACTGCCCAGCCTGCCACCTCAACTGCAGATCTTGTGACTTGTGAGCCTCTGTAATTGCATGAGCCAATTCTTTATAATTCTGTCTTGTCTCTTTGCCTATCTATCTATCTATCTATCTATCTATCTATCTATCTATCTATCACCTACCTATCCATCCATCCATCCATCCATCCATCCATTCATCCACCCATCCACCCCCCATACCCACCTATTATCTGTCTATGTATCTATGTATCTATCTACCTATCTATCTATTATCTGTCTATGTATCTATCTACCTATCTATCTATTATCTGTCTATCTATCTATCTATCTATCTATCTATCTATCTAGTTTATATAGTTATCCTTCATTATCTATGTGGGATCAACATCCCTGAGGATATCAAAATCCATGAATGTTCAAATACCTTATATAAAATGGTGTAGCATTTGCATATACTCTATACATATCCTTCTATGTGCTTTACATCTTCTCTAGATGACTTATGATACCTAGTACAATGTGAGTAACATGTAAGAGGTTGTTATAATGTATTGTTTAGGAAATAATAAGAGAAAAAACCAGACATGTTCAGTATAGTTGCAACCACCACAGACCTAACTACACAGGAAACAATCTGCAGTTGGTTGAATCCATAAATATGGATGTGGAAGGTCCACTGAGAGATGCTATTGATTCTGTTTCTCTAGAGAATGCACACTAACACAGGTTTTGGTACCATGAATGGTTTTCCAGGAACAGAATTTTGAGGGTGAGGCTTTTGAATTGATTCTGAAGTTGCTGGATCTGGCTCTGTAATTTGATCAGATTTTAAGGTACTAATGACTTTATTTACAATAGTAAAGAGAGCATGGATAGTGCATGATATGATATGGAAATAAAGATAATAAAAGTATCCCTGTTAGATCATCCTAATCAACTACTTATAGGAAGCAAGGATGTAGGTGCTATGCATATAAAACTTGCAAACATTTTGTTAAACCAGCAAGTATAATGGGCTTGACTTGTTCCTGCTGATGTCACTGGACAAAATGGAGCAGGAAAAGGAGGAATGCAATGATTTGAATTCTCAGTTCAATCATCACATAAATGTCGTGGAGGTCTTTTAGATGTCCTTGAAGGAGACCCTTATTTCCTGTAACTGTAAAGCCAGAATCCTGTAAACCACATACAGACTCTCATTGCAACTGGCCGAATTATAAAACAAGTTGAATTCTCAGACTTGCAGGGGGTCTCCTATTGAAGAGAGAACATTTGGAGGAAGGAGTGGGATCCTGAAAGTTGGAAGGAGAACATGTGGCAATACTGTGATGAAGCTGGGGACATCGAGCTCCCAAATTATGATGCTCTTTTTGCCACGCTGGAAACAATCTGTCTATCCCTGGTGGAAGGATCTTCCCCACTCCCAGTGGAAGCTGCCTTTCTGTCCTTACAGCCTTCATAGTCTTTCTGCCCTTCCTACCTGCACTGGAATCAGCCTTTCCACCTCACTCTAGAGGGTTTAACTCTGCTTTCCTAGGGAAATGTCCATTTGATCTCCTGAAACAGTTACCTGGCAAAACATGGGTGAATCTCCTCAAGATCTTTCCCATCACCCACTCTTTGCTTCTAGACATATAATTCGTCTTGAATCACAATAGGCACCTAAAGGCAAAGTAGGTGTTGCCCACAAGGAAGTACACTACACTCCAAAAATGACTACTTGAGTCTTCTAAATTTACCAACGTACATGGGGGAAGATATGTAGAATACTAAGGATACTAAGCATATGAGACAATGATGGGAGGAATATAAAATTGGGTCAGGCTGATTATAAAGTTGGGTCCACTAAGCAGAGTTCTGCACTTCAAGTTGCCGAATCCTGAGGAATTAAAAAAGATTCTATTTGCTTGGTTGGGAGGGTGAAAAGTGAGTAAAAATGTGATCCAGTGAGTGAGTTAGAAATGTCAGAACAGTGTCGGGTAACTCAGAAGATTCACAGGCTTAAGGTGGTGGGAATGCTACAGTGGACTTGTTGTTTAAAACCTGCTCACCAACCCTGGGATAGTCCCAAACACACATCTTTCAGCACGAGAATGAGGATTTGTGAGGGAAGAGCTCTGTCATCTTCTCTGTAGGCCAGACCTCACAGTGGGAACTATAGCCATTAAATTAGGAAACCTAAATGCAATGTGTGTTAGTCATTCCCTCACTGTGAAAGAACACTTGAAACAAACAGTTTATAAGGAGGAAAGACTCGTTGCGGCTCATGGTTTCAGAAGTGTCAGTACATGGTCTCTTGGTCCCATGAACAGGCAGAACATCATGGCGGGGAGTATGTGGCAGAGCAAAGCTGCTCATTTTGTGGTGGCTAGGAAGCAAAAAGAAAGACCACGAGGTGGGAGCTAGGCTCTAGTGTCCCCTTTAAGGTTGTACCCCAGTGACATAACTTCCTTCCACTAGACTCCGCCTCTTCAAAGCTCACCATCTCCCATTAGCACCACAGGCTGGTGATGAGTAGCATCTCTGCCTTTAGAATAGTGGCCTTTAGGAAACATCTAAGGTCCAAGTCATAACACGATGGAAATAACTGGATTCCAGGTTGGCCAGGGCCCAGTGGCAATGATCAGCCACCAAAGGCAAGGTGAGCAGGGTTATAATGAACAAGAGAGTTAGGCATCAGAATGCAGTCTATGATAGAGACCTGTAGCATTAATTAGTGTTCCAAGAAGTAAAATAGGAAGACTCTTAAACTGCATAAGCAGAGAAGTTCGAAGTCAAATGAGCCAGAGTCTAACTTGAGTAATGAGAACAGAGAATCATGACCCCTCAAGCAATTTCCAGACTTGAGCCAGTTTATACAACAGAACCCCATGAACTAGGAGGAGGCTGGTCTCTTTGAGGGGAAACCACTAAAAATTAATACTGTTCAGCTTTCTCCTAGCCTTCAAGTGGTGGGAATGAGAGTGGCACCTCCTCACTATTAGCAGTGACCCACTAGAGAAATGTTTGCTTCCTGTTCTTAAGACTTTATGCTCTCCTGACCTAAAGCTCCTAGTTTCAAAAGGAGGAATCTTTCCACCGGGAGATAAAACAATGATTCCTTTGAATTGGAAGTTAGGACTGTCACCTGTCCGCTTGGGGTTCCTATATCCCTGCATCAATAGGCAAAAGAGGAAGTTACTTTGCTGGCTGGGGAGACTGATCCTCACTAGCAAGGGGGAAATGGACTTTTCCTCTACAGGCAGGGAGGGAAGAGTGTGTCTGGAATACAGGAGACCCCTTTAGGGCATCTTAGTATTGTAATGCTGTGCAATTAAGGTCAGTGGACACCACAACAACCTAATTCAGGCGAGACTACTAATGGCTCAGACTCTTCAGGAGTGAAAAGTCGAGTCACCCACAAGTAAGGAATAAAAACCAGATGAGGTGCTCGCTCGAAGGCAGACAAAGATAGAGTGGAGAGTGGGCCTCTGTTTCTGGTTATTTTTGTATGGAGGGGGTCAGAGACCCACAACTGGAACTTGCCATAACTGGATTGGCTTCTGGGCATCTCTGCCTAACGTCATTTCTTCCGGTGGTCTATATGCAGCTTCTTTCTTTCTGTTTGCTTACTTGCCCTTGACATACCTTTTAAGGCCTTGTCTTTAGGGTGGGCAGCCAGTTGGCAAGGGGATATGTTATTCATGGCTGGCTTAGAGTTAACAAGGGGCATGTGGGTATCTATTGTATGCTATAATGACCTTAGAGTGAATAATGCGGTGACTCGAGATTGATACACACACACACACACACACACACACACACACACACACACATGCATAGATGTGGATGCATATTGCCTTAAAGTTAGTTAGCCCCCCACCTTTGCTTCTCAGTTCTTTTTTTTTTGGCCTCTTGATGCAAGTCCCAGTGTCATTTGCTGCTTTTCTTTATCTGCATTTTCTCTCTTTTTCTATCCCTGTCCTTGATCTATTTCCCAGGGGAATTTCTCTAGTAAAATTTGTTTTTAACACCTCTAGTCAGGATCACCTAGGCAACCTAAGGGGACCCCTATTCTATTTTTTGCCCCTGTCTACAGATCCCTACCCTAAAGAACTGTGCTAGTATACATTCCTACCAGTAATGCAGAAGGCTTCTACTTTCCCTGCAACCTTGCAAGCATTTGTTATTAATTGATTTCTTGGTGATGGCCAGTCTTTCTAATGCAAGATGGAATCTCATTGTCGTCTTAGGTTGCATTTCTGTAATGGCAAGAGATGTTCAACAATTTTTCATGTATTTTGGTTATTTGTACTTCTTTTTCTGAGAAGTGTCTATTCATATCAGTAGCCCATTTTTTGACTGAGTCTTTTATTTTGGCGAGTTTGTAGAGGTTTTTCACTTCCTTGGTTAGGTTATTTCCTATTTAATTTTTCTTGATGCTGTTGTGAATGGTATTGTTTTCCTGATTTCTTTCTCAGTGAGTTCATTATTGGTGTATAGTAACACTACTGATTTTTGTGTGTCAATTTTGTATCCTGTTGTGCTACTAAATGTTATTATCAATACTGTGAGACTTTTGGTGGACTTTTGAGTCTTCCAAGTAGAAGAACATGTTGTTTGGAAATAATAATAATTTGACCTCTTCCTTCCATACACATATGTATACCCTTAT